TATATATATAGTATATATATATATATATATAGTATATATATATATATATATATATATATATATATATATATATATATATATATATATATATATATATATATATATATATATATATATATATATATATATATATATATATATATATATATATATATATATATATATATATATATATATATATATATATATATATATATATATATATATATATATATATATATATATATATATATATATATATATATGTATATATATATATAATATTAAAGTATATTAAGTATATTAAAAGTATATATATATATATATTGTATCATTAATATATATCAAAATAACATATTAATATATTAATATATGAATATGTGTTTTAATTTCAGGTTTTACTATTATTTTTGGGAATTTTAATAAAATCACCAGTTCTATTATTACCCCATTTGTTAATTCAAGGTGTTTTCTTAATTTCATCTCTTGCATATTTCTTCCTCTATGCGCGCAGTTATTTCTATATCGATTTGTACAAACAAAGCAAAACTTTTGATGTTAGTTTTTTTTCATTTTTGATTTTTGAATCTTAATTTTTTTAAAATTTTTCTTCCTTCCAAGTTTTCAATATTTTCAAATTTTTTATATCTTAACAAATTGCACAACAATACTCGATATTTGAGAATTATGAAAGCATCATACTCTGGCATCCTATAATTGGAAATGGAAATATGTATATAACCATTAACAATTATATTATCATTTCCTTTTAATATGAATATTTTGTGATGGTTGAACATTTTCATTTTATATATATGTATCATATTAATTTTTACTCAAAAGTTTTTCTATTCCTTCCATTTTTTCTTTTTTTTTGTTTTTTTGACACATATATATAAACTTTATATTCAAAAGTTTATGGCACTTTTAGAATAGTACAGGACAATTTGGGACATTTTAAAAAAAAAGAAAAAAAGCAGTAATCACGATATATTCATGATAATTGTTAATTTATTTCATTGTAGCATGATTTGAATCAGAATTGATTTCTTACAGTATCATCTTTGATCTATGATTAATTAAAGCAAAATTACCTTAATTTAATTTTTTGAAACTTTTTCGTTATTATCTGAAGTCAACGCTTTTTTCTTTATTTTTATTACAATTCTAAATCAAAAAAACAATTAAGCAATTAAAATTTACGCTTACAAATGTATTGTTATCATTACTGCTAAAAGTACTAATAAAATTATATGTGTGTAAAAAGTTTACAAAGTTTAGAAATTACAGAATAATTATCCAGAATGCACAAAAAAAAAAAAAAGAAAACAAATACTTTTTTAAGTTGGATCAATTGTTTGAAAAACTGTAACAAGAAACGAGAATAATTAATTATATAAAAAAAAGAAAAGAAGAAAGAAAAAAAATGAAAAAAAAAGAAGTTTAATCAATTTACACAAGATAAATTTCATATTTAATTTTCGAAATGTTAAAAATTTTGGTAAATTTGAAGTGATCAAATTTATTGTTTGATATCATTTATCAATCAAATCACATTAATTTAAAATCAAATTTTGAATAGATTTTCCGGATACAAATCAGTGACATACAATAAAAAAAGAAAAAAAAGTGATATGATTGATAAATGTTGTCAAGCGATGATATTCATTAATATTAATTTATTAATTTCTAATTTTAACTAATGAATAGATCCGAATAGGGTTGCTTGACTTTTTAATAGATAAAATGATTGTTTAATTTTTACGATTTTTTTTTATTTAAAAAATTTCTTTTTTTATTTTTTATTTCATTTTAATTTTGTTATTTCGTAATTATTTCTAGCTTATGGCATTATTGGAACGGATGTGGTTGGCAACATTATTACTTATTCTTGCTGCATTTCAATTTTACATCTTTTTTACCGTTATCAAATGTTGCTTATATTTGCAGGTTATTCTCAAAAAAAAAAAAAATTTTTTTTTTTGCAATTAATTTTATTTCATGAATAATAAGCATTAAATAATAAGTAATAATTAAGCATTGAGTAATAAGTATTTCAACAAGTTATAACTAAGTATAGTAATGAATTAATAATTTAGTGCTTTTTACTCACCTTTAATAATAATTAAATAATTGAAGTTAGAATATGTTATAAAATTATTTTAGGTAGTTAAATAATTAAATGTAAAATAAAGGTAAGTATTTGATCATAGGAAAGTATCATAATTATTAAATGATTTTACGTGAAATTTCATTGCGTAATCATTAACGTATTACGTGAAAGTATAAAAAACGAAAAAGAGGATGAATCATTAAATCTTAGATATTACCAAATAAAAATTGCTAAAAGTTGACAAAGTTGACATCCAATAATACATCTGAAATATTTCAAATAATGTCATTTATCCAAGCATTATAAAATTACTTTAAAATTATAAAAATATTAAAAAATATCATTTTATTTTTACATTTTTTTTTTTAGAGTAACTATAAAAGAGTAATTTTTGGAGTAATTGTAAGTAAACAAAGTGAACTTTTAGCATTGATTTTAAAGTTTATACAATTACAGCTATACTTTTTTTTCTCTTGAAAATTTAAAGAATTTAGAAAAAAAAAAAAGAAATTTAACTTGATAATTAATTATTAATCTTCGCACCATTTTATCCCACATCTTTCTTCAAGTGTTATACTTGTTGATATTTGCTTATTTTTAACAATCATTATTGACCTTATGGATCAATTGATTGATTGATTGTTTGATTTACCGTTTGATTAATTGATTAATTGCTTAATTGATTGATTGATTTTATTCTTTTTTTTTTCTTTCTTTCCTTCTCTTTCTTTTTTTCTTTTGCTTCCATTTGTTGGGGGGAAAAAAAAAATGAATTAAAGCAATTTGTCGAAATAAATTTAAGATGTAATTTTATAATTATATTTTATAATTATCGTTTATGTTACGCTATATGAGTTTGCTGCTGTTAATTTTGACTGATAAAATTTAATTGTTCAGCTAATTCAGCTAATTAATTATTTGATCAATTATGATTGATGAGTGATTTAATATTTAGAGTAATAAAATTTGAGATAAGCTACATTCTGTCACTTTACATTGCAATAATTATCATATAATCCAGGCAATATTTCAATAGTTAAAGAAATTTTAGATTTAAAATTGTTTGAATTAAAAAATTTTCATTCATTTTTTAGATACGATAATTTTTGTAGGAATATCAGAATGAACGATTGCGACGAATTAGACAATTTGAGGAATGCAGTAAAAGGGTACGAGATGCAAAGCGCAACGGTCTTTGGCGATATACCAGTTGGGGTGGTAGCTTTCAGCAGGTTATTAGAAATCACTTCAAAAACATCTAATAGAATATCATACACAAGGATTATTTACAGTAGTAATTAGTGCAGGATGAATTAGGACATGCGGAATTGATTACTTTGAAATTTCATTTAAATGGTTGGTATTATTTCGTAATGCATTACAGTATGTTACTTAAATGATTGGTACCGTTTCGTAACACATTACAGTATGTTACTTAAATAAATGATATCGTTTCGTGGTACACTACAGTATATCAGTTAAATGACTGATACGATTCCGTGATACATTACAGTAACTTAATTGATTGATACCGTTTCTTGAAACATTACAGTATATCATCTAAATAATTGATACAGCTTTGTGATGCATTACAGTATACCATTAAACGATTTGTACCATTTCTCGATTTTTAATCGGTCTTTATTGCAATATATATATATATTACAGTATGTTGGTGAATACGATAATGATAAAAATAAGTTAAAAAAACGTGACAAACCACCAGGACATGTTCAGTGGAATTTGCAAGCAAATACAGAATTGGATGAGCCAAAGGATACATCTAATTCTGTTGAAATATCAAAACAATTAAAAACGGTTTGCTAAATTAAATTACTGTATAAGATTTGAAAATTTATCTATTTGGAATAGGTAAATATAAGTTTTGTTGCAAAAATTTAGCTTTCATATTTCAAATAATAATTTTAAATCAGAATGCAAAAATAATATTGAAAATGTAATTTAATTGAAAATATTTAGGAAAAAAAAACAAAAATAAATTATCCATCATTTTATTCATTTCTTTTTCACAACATTCCCATATGTAATATCTATTTTGTGATTTTTATCTTTGTTTTCTTTTTTCGGTTTTGTTTTATTAAGTGTTTAATTAATTATCACTGTGTCTTATTCATAGATGAAAGATTATTTGCATAACAATCATTTACATACGAAATTTTAATTACTTAAGAAAGCAAAAACAAAAAAAAAAAAAGAAATAAATCATTCATTTTCATTTCAGATAAGAAATGATAAACAAGATAGGCAATCTAACGTTATTCGAAGTATTAGTGCAAATGATAATCAATCAAAGTTTTATTATAATGATCATGTGGAAAGGATTAGTCGATCATTACTTTCACTAAACAAGGAAAAAGTTGACAAACAATTCCCAAAAAGGTTTCTTTCTTTCTTTCTTTTTTTTTTTTTTGTCACCCTCGTCATATGCTTAAAGATATTACTCCCTAAATATAGATTAATCATATTCATATTAAAGTTATTGTTAAATTAAATTAAGCTTTCCAGTAATTACTCAATCAAATAAATAGCAATACAATAAAGTATGACTAATAATAACTAAAATGTAAAAAAAATTGTAAAGTAAAAGTAAAAAAAATTAAAAAAGAAAGTTTTTATTAATAATAATTTTTCCAATAAATGTAGAAATACTAATACTTTTTTTT